TCTGAGGGATTTATCTGTCCTGTTTCCCTGTGTTGCGAGCCCAGTGTACATGCTCTGATCTAGCCAGATGTGTAAGTTAGAATTGGGGTCATGAGAGTGTGGGGGAAGAAGTATTAAAGAACTAGAGGAAAGTTGTATGTTTCATCAGTGCTATACCACACCCTGACTGGCTTGTCTATTTCTAGTGACCCTTTTATAAGGGGATGTCCAAGTGGCTACAGATGGGCTCTGGGTCTCCACTCCATCCTCCTCCTCATTCACATAGATATAATTTTTTTGGTCTGGATCTTTGATGCCTGATACCTGATCTCATTGACACTTCATGATCACTCAGGCTGGTGTGCTTCTTCCATGTGGACTTGACTGCTTCTCAGGTAGATAGCTGCTTGTTTACCTTCAAGCCTTTAAGTCCCCCGACCCTATATCTTTTGATAGCCAGGCACCATCAGCTTGCTACACCATATTTGCTTATGTACCCATTTATCTTCAGTGATTGTTTCAGGGAAGGTGAGCATCACAGAATGCCGCATTATTAGAACAAAGTGTTCTTGCATTGAAGGAGTACTTGAGTAGAGGCCCAGTGTTGGTGTGCTGCCTTAATACTAAACCTATAAATATATGTACACAGATCTATTTCCCTATCATTTTATATAAATAGATTTCCATATGTACATGCCTATATTTAGACCTCTATAAATGTCCTTTGCCTCCTAGTTCTTTTCTCTATTTCCTTTTGCTTTCCTCTTGTCCTTTTATTATTATGTTTGACATTTGGCACTCAGTAATTCCTCATGGCTACATTGCACTTGACTAAATCCCACCAGGCATCCTATGCCCTCCACAGCGTTGTGGCATTAAATCATTTGTTGTTCCCTTGTCATGGGTTTGTTGGCACCTTCCTACCTTACCCCCGCCTCCCCATCTCCTGTGTCCCCTAAGAACCATTGATCCCATTGTTTTCTCCTCTGTATTGTTTACCCCACCTATCTTATCTAGATAAACATGCAAAAATCAATATTAAACACAAAAACAAAACAAAACAATAAACAAAAACAAAATAACAACAACAAGGAAAAGTCTATAAATAGTTCCGAGTTTGTTTGTTGACTTTTGTGAGTATTTTCTGGTCAAGGCTAATGGGGTGCCACACCCTGGTCCTAAAGTCTATTTTTTGTATTCCTGGGGGGAATTCATTGCTTTTCTCCTGTTGCTGCTCTGTTGAATGCCCTTAGGGCTTCACCTTGATGTGGTGGGGTCAGATCGGGCACAATTCCTGTGTTTTGCCTCCAGTGTTGTCCCCTGTGGCGCTATGGATCAGTAAGGGACATCATATCTCGTGGTGGGACCAGCCCTATGGTTCTCTCTATGTAATGGCTGCTCTGGTAGCTTTCCTTTTTAATGTACACACACCAATGAAGCCCAGAGCTCCTGTTGTGTCCTTGTCACAAGGCCCCTAAAACCGAAGGTCTCCGCCACTATTGTGGGGATAGTGTGAACTTCTTGTTTTTCTCTGCCCGCATTTTCATTATGCCCAATTGATAAGGCAAATAGAATATAGAACACATTTCCATTGGTGGAAATGTTTCTTCCTTGTATTTCCCTTTCTTTGTGCTGGGAGGAATGGGGGAAGTGTGCTTCCACCTCTCTTCTGCTTCTTCTTCTTCCTTTTAATCATGTTATTGGGGCTCGTACAACTCTTATCACAATCCATACATGCATCAATTGTGTCAAGCACATTTGTACATTTGTTGCCATCATAATTCTCAAAACATTTGCTTTCTACTTGAGTCCTTTGTATCAGCTCTTCATTTTTCCCCTCCCTCTCTGCTCCCCGTCCCTCATGAAACCTTGATAATTAATAAATTATTATTATTTTTCATGTCTTACACTGTCTGATGTCTCCCTTCACCCACTTTTTTGTTGTCCATTCCCCAGGGAGGGGTTAAATGTAGATCCTTGTAATTGGTTCCCACTTTCTAGCCCACCTTCACTCCACTATCGAAGTATCACCACTCTCAGCACTAGTCCTGAAGGGATCATCTGTCCTGGATTCCCTGTGTTTCCAGTTCCTATTTGTACCAGTATACATCCTCTGGTCTAGTTGGATTTATAAGGTAGAATTGGGATCATGATAGTGGGGAGTGGTGGGGGCCGAAGCACTAAAGAACTAGAGGAAAGTTGTATGTTTCATCATTGTTACACTGCACCCTGATTGGCTTGTCTCCTCCCTGTGACCCTGTGACCCTTCTGGAAGGGGATGCCCAGTTGCCTACAGATGGGCCTTGGGTACCTACTCAGCACTCCCCCTCCATCACAATGATTTTTTGTTCTTTGGCTACCTCTCTTCTGCTTCATTGTCATTCTTTTCATCTTCCACTGTCCACTTATCCTCTTTCCCCTGTTCTGTCTGGCTACCAAATCTAGTGTTTCATCTTTTTAAAAGCAACAATAAAATATTGTTTATGTAGACAGTCCACAATGAGAGAAAAACCTTTGGAATCAGAGAAACATGAGTTGGAATGCTTTAATTTCCACTTCCTAAATTATCTCTATTTAAAATGTGGCAAAAGCAAGCATTACTTTTAAAACTAATATGTGCCGGACCCAAACTATGAAATTCTCAATTGCCTTATCGGCATGTGAAAGTTGGACATTGAATCAGGAAGACCAAAGAAGAATCTGTACATCCGCATTCTGGTGCTGGCTAAGAATTCCGAAAGTGCTATGGACTGCCAAAAGAACAACCATATCTGTCTTGGAAGACATTCAGTCACAATGTTCCTTAGAAGCAAGGGTGGCAAGATTTGTCTCACATCCTTTGGACATGTTGTCAGTCCTGGAAATGGAATTTTGCTTGGTAAAGTGGAAGGGAAGTGAAATAGAGAAGACTTTCAAAGAGTTGGGTTGACACAGTGTGTGCAATGATGAACTTGGACATAGCAACGATTGTGAGGACGGGGTAGCACCAGAGGATGTTCCTTCCTGCTGTACCAGGGTTGCTATGAGTTGGAACCAGCTCGATGACAGCTACACAATAATAACAAGTTATGTCACCTTTAGGATGCATGGAATACCTCTCACTTACTTATTACTAAAATAATTATATTGCTGTTCTCTAAGGATGAAAAGATTAGCCTATGGTATTTATAGTGCAGTGCCTACTAAAGACTGCACATTTCCTAAGGCCAAGAAACTGGTCTTCTCCATAGCGTCTACCATCTAAGCCCACATTACAGTGTCTAACATACGGAG